ATACCCAAAATCATTGCAAATAAAGTTATTATTAAAATGAAGCAAAGTCTAGATAATACCAGGACACCTGGCCAGCATGATACAGTAGTTGGACGTCAATGGATTATCATGGTAAAGGTACGCAGAATTAATTGTCTTAATAATTTACATTTTACATTTGATAATTTCAAACATAATATATTTTATTGTTAAATATTCCGTATAGCATGCATTGTATTTTAATGTAATAGGTAACGGTTTAAATTAAGTGTAATTAGATCGAAAAAGGTCGACTAGTTTCGCAATTTTGACTAGTTTTAGTGGTCTCACAGTTGCTCATGACTAAGGATCACGAATTGATTCTGAAACTAGTAGAGTTTTCTTTATATTGTGCGGTAAATATTATAAGAAAATATAGTAAATAAGGACTTAAAAGTGTAAATACTCTTAAGTGGTTCTTACACTACTGTAATATGTTTTTAATATTTTAAAATTCCAGAACCTTCGACATTCTAAATTCAAAAATTATAAAGTCTTTAAAATAAACAAGGACTTTTTTTTATGCAACTTAAAATGGCAAACAAGCTGACGACCCACCTGATGGAAAGTGGTAACCATCGCCTATAGACATGAGCAGTATCGTGGACATAACAGAGTGTACTGTTTCGCCCATGATACCCCCCATGCGTTGCCATTCCTGAGGACTCAGGTGTTATTCCTCTGTACCCAGTAAATTCACGCCATATCCCACCCTTCAAACCGAAACACAGCCATGCAAACACAACTGCTTCACGGTAGAAACACGAATGGAACAAAGGTACCCAAGCAATCGACTTTTGTACAAAATCTCCCTCTCCCTCCCTCTCCCTCTCCCTCTCCCTTGATTTAAAACGATTATAAGTACTGTTATATGATGTTTATCTATTTTTGTAAAGATTGTTTCGTAACGCAATCCTGATCACCTCATAATACCGATAAGATTGAAAATTTCTATAAAAAATTGGTAATTTTTAGAAGCAATTATTTTTGTTAATCCAAATCTTTATTGAAGGCAGATTGTTTCTAGATAATAAAATATATAGTTAATTTGATTAATATATAAAAAATAGAAATCCCTATTAACTTACGTAAAAAAATACTCAATAAGTCTTAATATAAAAGTGTTATATTATTCACAAAAAAAAATTTATACAACTTAAAATGGCAAAAAACCTGACGGCCCACCTGATGGTAAGTGGTAACCGTTACCTCTAAACATGAGCAGTACCATGAACATAACAGAGTATACTGTGTCGCCCATGACATTCATGCGATGAATTCAGGAACTACTTGATCTACGAAGCAACGTTGCCGGACTGGTTATGTAAATTTTATTATTGGGTTATTTGTTATGGACAAATATTTTTAAAATTCGTGAAAATTTAGAAAAATATTTTTGGAGAAAAATAGGCGTAGAAAAATTTAAACAATACATTTTTTTATCAATTTTAGTATTTGTAAACCGTATAGCAATATATAGTATATGTTGTAAGAGGCAACTAAGAGAACTTAATGGTTAAGATATTGACAGCAGCGTCTCTCTTAAAATATCACCAAAGCCTAACACGCCTGCCAAGCGTGGCAACTATGAACAAAACCTCTCAAGGTCTATATTCAGCAATAAACAGTTAAAGGCTGATATGATGATAGCAATTTATTTATTTATTTATTCATTAAAAATAATTATAACATTATAACAGCAAAAGCCAAATCAATGTTATAAATCTAGTGTGCTAACATACAAAGTTATAATAAATGTACTTAACCCGACTCTAGATATGTCTGAGCCGCTTCTAATATCTTTGGCAGGCTACTACTAAATATATCAATGATGTTTATAATATTATTTAATAACCGTACTGCGTGAGTTAAGGAAACGTATATAAAGTTATATAAAGTTCAACACAATGAAAGACAATATTTTCTTTATCGATCGTATATTGGTTACATGGGATAACGTAATGAAAACTGACACATATTTCTGATAGGGTAAAAGTGAAGAAAATCTTATCAATTTGAAGAAAAAATTACCTATGTCACATTTGAGTAAAAATGATGCCTCCTACCCTTTGTCTTTATTCACAATGTCCTCTACCTACAAGTTATCTGGAAGAGATAGCAATTTGTATAACTTTGCATTAATCGTTTACTGTATTTCTTATTATTGTTACTGGTTCAGTAAAGTATAAATAAATAAATATAAACACCATACAACAGAGCCAAAAGTTAAGAGATTCCGTATGGGATCAAAATGCATACTAAGAAAAGTTTCTGGAATAACAAAATACAGGTTCCATTAATATCTGCTTAAATACGCATAAATGGAAATTTTGCTTTGCAAAAATAACGCTTTCAGTATGGACAGAACCAGAATTGTAGTCCTATACGAGAATAAATCCTTTACATTATAAATAGTATCATTAAAAAAAGGTTCAGAATGATCGCGGTACTATATACACAAAAATACATTCAAATTTTCCTTTTTATGGTTAAATATACGAGCGATACAAATAGCTTAGTCCTCAAGCTAGGATACTCTATGTAATGAGAGACCAGTCACATAACTCAGAACACCAAGTCTCGAGACAATTCAGAAAAGTTTTTACCTAAATTGGCACAACCAAGTATCGAACCCACATTTATATAAAGCGACGTAACTGCCACCGCGTCACAGAGGTCGTCAAATAACACTAAATGAAGTAACTAATCTTAGGAACCATAAAGAACTTTTTTATACCACTGTGGTGACAAATAAAATATACGGTCAACCTGATGGTAACCGATTACCGTAGCCTATGAACGCCTACAATACTAGGGCCATTATGCGCGATTTTCTGACCCTGAAGAAACCTTTTTACCCCTTTTTTTAAGAATCCGATGCTGTAGTCTTTTGAAAAAATCTCGACAGGAAGCTTATTCCATAACCTGAGTTTTGTGAGAGGAACGTCTTTAAAACCAGGCTTCACGTGACGATCTAGGCTCTAAGGCATGGGGATGAACTCCCTATCGATAGCGAGCTGTACGAATGTTTCCTTTCCACTCAGGGTTTGCTGGAAGAGAACTCTTACAGAGTTAAGCTCGCCTTTCGTACATGTTTATTTAATATATATTATATGTTTGTAATTTTTTGTGTACAATAAATAATAAATAAATGTTTTTTTTTTTTTTTATTGTACACTTGAACTCTAACTATATGCAAAAAGCAATAGCTGTGTTTCTTGCCCGTTCTTCTCAGCTGAAATTAGATTCCGAACTGAGCGGTAGATTTATAAAAAAAATAACTATTCAAAAATGCTTATTATTAAGTTTACTTGAATAAAAAATATTTTTGTTTATTTATACAAAAATAACGAGCATACATGATTAATTTTTAAATTTCAAAAATTATAGGGACTACAAATTGAATTGAAAAAAAACGTCAAATCTCTCATAACCCTATTTTAGCTATTGAAGAGTTTTCTCCTTTTCTCTTACATTAATTTCTCAGTTTTAAAAGACAGCAATTAAAACACTGTAATAATTAAAATAGGTTTTTAGAAGTTTTTGGTTTTTTATCAATAAAGGCGTAAGAATTTATACAAAACCCGCAACAGATTTAAACGGGGTCAAAGTTGGTAAAACTTTGAACTATCCTTCATTCATCTGTCTTCATGCATGATTCCTTACCATAAAGGTAGAGAGACAATTTTACTTGTTTTTTTATACAACTTGGAGAGACAAGCCGGCGAGTCAACTCGTGAAAAGTGGTAACCGTCGCACCGTAACAGTAGGTATATATTAAATTATATAGTTTTATTTATTATAAATATTTTACGTACTTATTATAAATATCTACTAATATTATAAGAAAATATTATAATTTAGAAATATATTAAACTATAATTAACTATATAATTTGGCTTATTTAAATAAAAGAAACTCAACAACAAAAGAAACAATTAAGATCAATTTAATGTATAATTTAAATTTAATTTTAAAATATAAATAGTTATGTGATTTATGGTTAGGATTATTTCATAAAATTTAAATATAGGGAACTCTTTACAACCAATTTAATTTACAATTTAAATTAATTTATAACTTTTAATTCATATCTATAAATTTATTGAAGTTACATTTTAATGAAATATAAAGTTAAATAAGTTAAAATATAAATATAGTGTTAAGGTTATATATATATATATATAACCTAAACACTATATACTAAAGAAAGTCACTTCCACATGAATAGTAATATAATTTATATAGATGAAACGAAAAAAATCTTTTCACAGATATTAATAGGTCTAAGTTAAATTAAAAGAAACTTTCACGCCAACTTACTCTTTTATTTTTTACGCTTTAACCCAATTTATCATATAATTTATTACGCACATATTAATTTATTAACATTTTTGTTATACGATCATTTTAATATACGAATATATAAATTATAAAATAGTTTATATTACTAATTGTAAAAATATAATAAAACTTTATACTACTTTCCCTGTACTTTTTCAAACTTTTAATTGCAACTAACAAACTTGGATTATTTTATTCTTTTAATTGTACTCGTATCCTTGTATAATAATATACCCATTTACATTTCAATTTTATTTAACCTATTTTATACATTTTTATTTTTTTTCTTTTAATAATTACTTTTATTAAAATAGAAGAGAAAATAATGACATAATTATTATTTTCTCTTCTTTTTCATTTTTTAGTAACAGTTACACAATTTTTTTGTTAATAATAAAAATAAGATCTATAATGGCATAAAATTTTTAGAGTAATTTTGGCAAAAAAAATCTTAAAATTTTGTTAAATTTATTAATTACCACTAGCGAGTTTCAAAATGCCTATATCTGACATGGAAATATATTGATGAGTTTTCTTAGATTATATCCTCGGATCGAATTTCAAATACAAATGTCGAAATTAACACAAAAAAAGTTGGAAAAACTTTTTTAAAAGTTCTAAAAAGTTACGAAACTCACCTGTGACACGTGTATCCGCGGTAACTCTCAGCACCAAATAGTCGTGGAGTATACTGAGCGATTCGAGAGTCTGATGATATACTCGGGGGTTTGTTGGACTATACTGGGCACATGTTCCTTGGCGGGTTCTATGTAGAGTGCGCTTAGGCGGCCAACCCGCAGGCTTTTAAACGCTCGCCATAGACCTCGGTATCGGTTAGACAGGACAATGCGTGGGCTTTGTGACGTATATCATATTAGAATTTATTAGCATAATTTTGATGACGTCAGATGTGTATTAATTCATTTCTCCATATAGTGATAAAGTAAACATATCAACTCATTTATATCTCCAACACATTACGAGGCGATTAGAATAACAAATAGATAAATGCAAAAAAGGAAAACAAAGTTCCTTACCAAACCGCCTGCATAGTATAGTCATAATGAGACACATGTTTTTATTATTATGAGAATCCTGTCCAGCTATGGAACGTTTACGAGCTAATATGTTAATTCTAAAATGGTGTAGATAAAAAAATAAATAATACATTTAGATTTGCGAATCCAAATAATGATGTACAAAAACACTGTCTAATTATACGTAAATAAAACATGGCATACTTAAACTTTTTTTATATATTAAATACTATTCTTAATCTCTAAAAATAAGAACGTGAAAACTTACTAAAGATAAGAAATAATCTAAAAATTTTATAATAAAAAGTAGACGTTTGTTGACTATGAGAAAGCCTTTGATTCGGTCGAGGCTTGGGAGTACTACAGTCTCTCCGGCGGTGCCAGTTTAACTATAGGCATATCAAAGCATTGAAGAGTATACAGTAAGCCTACGATGTCTATCTAAGTACAGAAATAAGATACGAAACTCATTCCAGTGCAGCAAGGTGTAAGATAACTTTAAACTATGAAGGAGACCTATGTTCAGCAGTGGACAGACAATGGCTAAATGAATTAATAAATGACACATAAATTGCAATGAATAATAAAATATTATGCCAACTAATTTACACTAACTTGAATCGACCTTCAGCATAATATAGTTAGTGTAATTTTATACAGAAACGTGACATCAAAAATAAATCGATGGGCTGATGATAATAACATACTATTAAAATTATGTAAAGAAACCGATACGAAAAATGTTAACAAAAAAATATAATACGATATAATACATTCTACACCATTCGTAGCTCTATCCTCCCGCCCTACGTTCATCGGCCACTCGCAACACAGATTTGAACTCCAATCCTGTTAGAGCGGGACCGCTGCACAAACACCCTCGTGCCGTCCCGCTCGCGCCCAAACTTGTATGAAGTTATTAAGTCCGCAATCAGTTGATTATGGTTGTTTTCACTGCTTTATTTGAGTGGTGGCACTCGAAGCTTTTTAATTACGCATTGTACAATAAATGTGCATATGTACATATGTAGGTACAAGTGTACAACTTTTAGTAGTGTATGTGTATGTATGTATAAGAGTTAATCCATACATTTGTATTATTCAGTGGAACATTTTATTTATGAATTCGTCTACTACATTAATTCCACAAAATACATTAATCCTGTTACCTATCTTTACTTTATGTGTAATATACATTTTCATGCCTATTTAAAAAGTTTTTTTAATAAATAAAAATAAAGGAAAACTGGTAACCCTCTTGCACTATTATAATATCATTAACTAGCGACTCGATCCGGCTTTGTATGGACGGATAGAAATTTTGAAAATGACATAAAAGCACAGCCTATGTTTTATATTTATTATTTATATAATATAATGTTTTATTATTTATTATTATTTTTATTATTTCAGCCTTTAATTTGACATAAGCCTTCTCTATGTTATAAAGGACTCATAACTATTTATCACGCAAAATTGTATGAAAAAGTTGACACGCTTTTTTCGAACCATTTGTATGGAGATACTCTATCTATATAATCTAAGGGTATATATATCCTGGGCATATTACACAGCGGATAATAAGGCTGTTTTTCTTTATGACGATTACTAATTCATCTTCTAGTGCTAACAGTGAAGATTGGCCATCAATCCACAGTATCTATCCATATTTTGTTAAAGTAGTACATTTAAATAAATATATGCACTTTTAATATACATATGTTAACAGAAATTTAAAACGGTAACTGTTGAGTTTCTTGCGGGCTCTACTCAGCAGGTAATAACATTTCGAACCCTGCAGTAGATTTTAAAAAAAAATACGATTTAAAAGTGCTTATAAACAAATCTACATATTTGAATAAAGATAATTTGAAATTGTATTTTAAAAAGCAGCAGCCCAGCAGTGGGGCACCATATTGATCGATTGATTTATGTTATTAGAGACATTTGTGAATTATTGCTTTGTGATGAACGTAACACTGGACAAGCCTACATTTCCGCCTCCACGTGGTCCCCCCTGGAAACCATCGTGCTGAATCTCAGGAGTATTTATCACGGTGAGCTAACTGACCTACCTTTTCATTCTCACTTATCATCTCTCACTGGTGCCCCGCCCGCATATACCGTTAACGCAGGCGGGGTCACCATTCCATTGACATACATTAAAAAAATTACAATGCCTTCCCCCTATCACCGGATTATTAGTATAAAATTTAACACATCAATTTTAGTGTCGGTCAGATTCGAACCTACTACCTTTTGTATATAAATAAAAACAATATATCACTGATCCACAACGCTGTAAATGTAACTACTTACAATCGAACAAAACAGATTTCAATCAAACCACAAAACCTAGAACTAGCTTAACTATCCATTTAATTCAGGGAGTTTAACAGTTGACAACAGATTGTCAATAACAGATCGCTGAACCATCCACAAACTCGAAATCCACTCTTCTGACATTCCAAAACTTAGCCTCCTTCAATATAGATCAAGATAATAGAAAATATATATTTTCTAAGTTGATTACAATTATTTTGTTTAATTCCGCTACCGTTGCTACGCATGTAACTGCCAGCACTCGAAAATTAACTTCTATTATTATTACCAGAAGTTCTACCTACTTTTCCTTATTACTCATCAATTTCCGAACGCTATTCTGTCCACACACATTTTGAGCACCTGTTTTACCTCTAAACGAGATATCTTTAGGAAAATTAATGATCGATACTAATATTTATTTTTATTTTATTTTATTTTATTTATTCATAAACAAAAATTTGTATTTGAATGTTATAGTAGATACAATATTTACATACAGTACATAAATTATAAATTAAATTAAGCATAAAACAAATATTACAGTCACTTAGTCATCTCTTAACATAAACAATATAGGTATATATTCAAATTTACTATAATTAGAATTCGTCAATTGAGTACAGACACCTCTCTAGCAGCTCTCTCTCTCTCTTGAAGTCTCAGTAATGACTTCAATTTTGTCCTAAAGATATTTAAATCATTCAGTGACTTTAATTCCTTAGGCAGCTTATTAAATAACACCACCGCTTGGTTTCGTGGACAATGTTGTACTATGTTAAATGTGGGTATAATAACCTTTTGTAAATCCATCCTTCTTGTAATTAATCGTTATAATATGGAAGGTTGTCGCATTAACTATTACACTAATAAAAGAAAATGCGGCAAAAAAAATTAGTTTATTAATTAGTAAAAAATACAAGTTAAATTTACATATAAAATAATCTATTTATAAATGTTGTGAGCAAGGGTGGACTTATCTCTGACAGAGATATCTTCCAGTCAACCCAGTACAGTAAGAAAGCATTTCGTTAGCGGGCAGCTGAAGTGCTACAACTATTAATACATAAACAAATATACAGTTAAATAAAATATTATACATATATATATATATAATAATAAATTATATGTAATTAGGTGGAATAAAAAAAATCAAGATGCAGTTAACAAAGTCCTTAGGTCAAAAAACGTAAAAAAAATAACGTAAAATAACAAGGTTGTTGAATAACTGGAAATAATAATAATAGTAAATATTATTATTATTTCCAGAAGTGAAATTAAAAAAAAAATATTCTAATCAACTAACCAATGGTATGGACTTCTATAAAATACATAGTCCTAGTTCGGTAAAATATTAATCTGTAAGCTTCCCTCAAAAAAAAAATATTGGGAAATTCATATTTACCGATATATTAGTATGAACATTTATATATATATATATATATATATATATATATATATATATATATATATATATATATATATATATATATATATATATATATATATATATATATATATATATATATAAACATTTGTCAACAACAGGTAATCTAAATTTTAATTAATATCTAAATAAGTCGTGTTCGTACCTATGTCTTATTAATATTAACCCATTGTTATTAATATTAACCCTTAATATGTTTAACCCATTAAGAAAACGCAGGTCTCCAAGTACACAAATGTGTTAGGCAAAAAGTATTATGATAATATTACACGTAAATATTCTCTGTAGAAGAGTTGTTAGAGAAAATAAGATCTTATAGTTGTTACGTTTATACTAGAGGGAGACTTTGTACAAAAGTCGATTGCTTGGGTACCTCTGTCCCATTCATGTTTCAACCGTGAAGCAGTTGTGTTTGCATGGCTGAGTTTCGGTTTCAAGGGTGGGATATGGCGTGAATTTACTGGGTATAGAGGAATAACACCTGAGTCCTCAGGAATGGCAACGCATAGGGGTATCATGGGCGAACCAGTATACTCTGTTATGTCCATGGTACTGCTCATGTCTATAGGCGACGGTTACCACTTTCCATCAGGTGGACCGTCAGCTTGTTTGCCATTCTAAGTTTTATAAAAAAAAACTATATATAGCTATTATAGCTAGCTATAAATGCTCGATCTAACTGTATAGTTTCATTTTTTTTATTTTTAATGGGTGATAATGAAATGGTAACCCCGAATGCGCTAACGGTATACGATGACGGCCCCGTCAGCTGCCCACCAGTGAGAGATAATAGATGAGGATGAAAGCAGGTCAGTTAGCCCGTCGTGAAGAATTCCACGAGAAGTAACCATGATGGTTTCCAAGAGAGCCACGTGGAGGTCGACCTGATTGGTAACATTGTTAGCAATGGAGCTGTTAGAGCCCATCGCTAACAATCTTTTCCCCCCAATAATATGTCAGCCGAGTATTT